ACCCCCCCCCCCCCCCCCCCCCCCATAGGACCCTGGTTTAGCCGGGAGGTTCTTTGCACGCCCTTTGCCGGCGTGCTAGAGATGGGTTTTTGGGCTTTTTTGGACGAGGGTAGGCAGGGGGTAACCACGCTGGGGAGTGTGCTGGTTGGGGTGTGGGCTTCCCAAAAGGGGGGGGGGGGGGGGGGGGTGTACTGATGTAAACACATGCCGTAGTCGTTAGACCATCGACCTCGCATCCCTACACAATGCCGGGACGGAGCGATGTGTCCGACTATCGCCGGCCCAGGCTACGTTTTACAAGGATGAACCAGAAGCTGGTCATCGTACTTCGCAGTGCTAAACCAGATACGCCATGGGTTGATCGAAGGGCGGGCATCGTACTTCGCTGTGCTAAACCAGATACGCCATGGATTGATCGAAGGGCGGGGGTGGAAACGGTTTGTCGAGGGCACATGGATCGGTGTAACTGTTTCCTAAGAAACAAACACCGCCGACGAAGTGATCTTTTCCCTGCCTTTTTGGACCCCCGACAGCTGTGTACGGCCCCTGGCAAGCCCCACCATCGTTCACGAGTGAAGAGCACCTCGAGGGTAACGCGTGTGCCAACGCGAGCCCTGCTGTCACAAGACGTGGTATCATTTTTACACGGAGCATTGCCATTTGTTTTCACCGTCTTTAGATCTTGTTCTGCCTGCTGACCTATCCTCGACCCCCCCCCCTCCCGGTGGTCGCACACCGGACACACGAGCTTAACCGCTACGTTGTGACGGATTGTACTGTGCTCCTTCGAATCCCCACCTTAACACTGCTGAAACCATGTGTAATCCGACCAGTGCGGCTAGCTCTGCTTGCCCCGTCCACACCCACCTTCTGCTTAACCCTTCTGAAACAACAACGGTGCAGCTCTCGTTTCCCCTGCCAAACCTACCCTTCAATCATCCCATCTGAAACAACAACGATGCAGCTGCTCTCGCTACCCTATCCCACCTAATATCCCCCCCCCCAAAAAAAAACCCTTGCTGTCCGAAAAATGCTCAGCTCTTGGTGCGCATGGAGCGCAGAGGACCCCCCCTCCGCCGCCTCCTCGAGGCCTGCTCCTACATATTCAGCTCCGCCCTCGAGATGGCCGCGGGGCCCCCCGACGGCTCGTCGGCTCCCGCTAGCCCTACCTCGCCCTTCAAGGGTGGGGTTGTTGAGGGGGAGGGCGAGGGTGCGGGCGGGGTCACCGCCGCTGTCCATGGAGACAACCGGGCGACGGCGGCGGCGGCGGCGGTTTCGGGCAGTCAGCAAGGCTGGGAGGCGTTTAACCGGTCGATGGACGACCGTGACGAGGAGGTGCGGAAGGCGGTAGCGGCGGCGGCGGCGGCGGCGGCCGGCGGGGAGAAGGTGAAGGAGCGGGAGCTCCCGGCCCCGATGCTGGAGGTGCTGAAGGTGGCGCTGTCGCTGCTGCGGCGGCTGTCGAACCGGAACCTGACCGCGGCGGGGCCGTTCGCGTCCACGATGCAGATGTGGCCTTCGGGGCATCCCCAGGTAATAATTTTGTGCTGTTCTACCCCGCAGGAGAGACAAAGATATCACACCCCGTGGGGTGATTTTTCAAAGCTCGATTACTCCACGGCAGATAGAGAGGCTGGCGGCGGTAGCACCGTCTCGTCGGCAGAAGGAGTGGTGTTGGAACCGGCTCGTCGAGAGCTTTGCGAACACGTATCGCTCGATGCATACCATGCATCCTCTTCGCCGTGACACAATCGAGCCTTTAATATGGGTCCAGGGGATGTGCTATATCGTACGTCAGCTATGTACAACGTCACCTGTTTTTATCGCCGCTTTCGCGGAGGCCTTGCTGCTGTGGTGGCGTGGCTGCTTCGTCGCAACACCGAACAATCTTGCTGCACGTTTTGTCAAAGTTTAAATGAAATCAAATGTAAGAAAATTGACATAGCAAGAGAAAAACAGGAACGGTGTGGACTGCCGCCAAGAACACAGACGCGACGAAATTGCACAACACACACATGTCATACGTTTAAGGCTTACGGGAAAGTGTTCGTATCAACTCGTCTTGCCGTCACTACAGAAGAAGTACTATCGGGGGTGTCACACTATGTGTTCCTTCGCGGCGGGGGTGTGTGTCAACGTCATTACACGAATGGGAACCGGAGGATTTTTTTTCTTCATCTCTACTGTAGCGGCTACTATATAGTAGTCTTGATGATGTTTTTTTTTTTTCTTTCAAAGGCGGGTTCTATTTTCGGTACGAATTTGGGCGTAGGCGTGTGCTTGTAGCACGCCTCTTTCAATCTTCCATGCAAGCACAGCGCAACGCCTACGGCTGTTCTTATCTACATAACGACGACCAATGATCTGACATTGCCCCCGTTGGAACACAGCGGCGGGACTGGGAGGCCGCCCTGGCCATGGCCGGCGAGCCCCCCCCGTCCATCGACGCGGCGGCGTCGTCGTCGTCGTCGTCGTCGTCGTCTCGTCCGGCGTTGGCACCGGCGTCAGCCGTCCGCAGCATCGGGGTCCGGAGCAGCGGCGGCGGGGTCCGCAGGGTCGGGGGCGGCGGCGGCGGCGGCGTCGCGAGGATGGTCAACCTCGGCAGCGGCAGCGGCGATAGAGGCGGAGATGGCAGCGGCGGAGGCGGCGGCGGCAGCGATCCGCCGGCACGGCGGCGGTAGCGGTAGCGGCGGTAGCGGCGGTAGCGGTGGTAGCGGTGGTGGCGGTGGCGGCAGCGGCACCAACGGTGGCGGCGGTGGAGTGGAG